CTTGATATATCTTGATAAATAAAATCGGTTGGTCAGAAGAACGTGCCAGTGCATTATTATAGCTATCCGCTATTTTATTTCCGGCTTCCACATTGTCCGGTCCCGTCACATAAATTAAAATAACAGTAATCTGTCCAAATTCCCGTGGTAGATAAAAGGGTCTAAAGGACACGGACAAGAGCTCATAGTTTGGAGTACACACTTGCTCATGGATCCGAAAATGTGATGCCCATCTGTTATGCACAAAAATCCACAGTCCTCCTCCCACAGATTTATTAGATGCAACTTTTTCTCTATCGGCTCTAATCACTGTATAGCCATTTAAGGAAATGTTCTGAATATCTCCTTTTAACCAAGTCTCTGTGAAACATAACAGGTGACTCTGTCTAAAGTCACTGTCATATTCAACTTTCGCCGCCAGTTCATCCATTTTATTCCTCAAAGAGCGTACATTAGACAAAGCAATTACCGATGATGGTGGTTTACTGCCTCTTCTTTTGACGCACCCCACTTCGCGATCCTCATTTCTTCTTAGATGGACCCTTACATTCCTTTGTCCGAGGATTCTTCAGCAACTCACTGCAAACTTCCGGTAAGTTCATCTGTAGGAAGCCGGGTCGCGATCGTGGTAGAAGAAGCAACAATTCCTCTCTGGTGTAGGCAAGGACTCCATTCATAACATTCATCCCCTAGCTGGCCGTGATTAGAAATGTTGCCAAACATACCGCCAACCAGACCATACAGCAACGAATCTTCATACTGAGTCAATAGAATATCTCGCACCAGTAGAATGTTGAGTCAAAAAATATATTAATCAATAAAAATAACTATATAAAAACAATAAGCAATAAAAAACGATAAAACCAAACAACAAACAGCCAACACGTGAAGCACTGGGTCAGCAGTAGAGCCACGCCCCGGAAGTCGACTCCCTTATATAAGTTATAAAGTTTATATAAAGTTACCTGTTATCTAATGCAGGTTTTGTGTTTAGAAGTGTGTTAAAGATGTGTTAAAAAGCCATTGCTGTCTCAGAAAAACGTCAAAGAATGAAGTTTTTTTGCAGAATATGGAAAGTTTGATACAGAGTGGTTCAGCAGAGTTGTGTGGAGTGATGAATCATGCTTTGAGTTGCATGGTGATGCTCCAGAGAGGGCTTCAAAGATCTGATGAGAAATACAATAGTGGAAGCATCTCTATCACAGTTAAGCATGGAGGAAGAGGTGTCATGGTGTGGGGAGCCTTTTCAGCTGCTGGTACTGGTGAGCTGCTTCACTGTGAAAAGTCAATTAATGTTTTGG